ACTCCTCATGTCGATCCTACACATGGTGTAATTCTTGCTGCCTAGGCCTATCGTTGCATCGAAGAACGGACAATTTTGACTGTAAACCTGCTTGTCGATGATTCCTCGTCGCTTTCGTTGCGAATTCTATTGACCGGATTTTGCTGAAACATCGGCAGTCGGTGTTCCCTCTCTTCGTCGGCTTTGTTTGCAGTGTAATTTTAATATTTTGTTACTGCCTCTTTACATGCCCTGTGTTTAGTTGACAGCGTTTGCCTTCGCTGTGCCGTTACTCGCCCTAATTTAAAGTCGACGTTCTCGGTCTTGCGGAGTTTAGTTTCTAATTCTTTCCCATCGAGGATTTCCAGCCACTTGTTGAATCCACTGTTGTTGAGTCTGCTGTACTCTTTTATTTGGCTGAGATATTGGGTGGTGATTCACCGACCGTTAGCCTGTGTACAGACGTCCTCCCTCCCTCAGGAAAAATGGGGAGAGGAGACGTCTGTGAATCGCCGACGATAATCGTGTTCCCGTTTCCCCGGAATGTTGGGGACAGCCTCTGATTGGTTGTAATGTTAATGCCATGACGCAAATAATTTCCGGTGTTGTGATTGGTGAATGAGCTCAGCCTTTGTGGACAATCATATTTGTTTACCGGTATTTGTATTTCGGCTCTCTCGAAAAGGCATGAGAAGTTAAGACCACCGATGTTTGCTGCACCGGTTGCGGATGCGTCTGTCTGTACCGGTCGGTATTGTAAATAAAAGAGAAGGCATTACAAAATCCAACGTTAACAGCCAAGCTAGGTCAAGCTTACCCCAAAAAGATTCTATTAATGAATTGATTATTTGAAAAATTGAATCCGTTAGTCGTTCCCGTAACTGGTATCAAATTTAAATCGGCATTCCTGTATGCGTAATGAGCAGTGAATATTTTAAGAGAACTTCTCTGCATTTGGTCAGATTGAAAATCTTTGAATGGGTTAAATGTCTTTTAGACGACATTTACATCAAATTCAGGGAAACTGAGCTGGTAGAAATTTTGCAACTGAATTGCGTGTGAATTCACGGCTCATTACGCATGCAAGAATGCACACAGAGATGAATCTGAAATCTACAACTACCAACGGTTCAACTTTCGAATAATAAATACATTAATGGGATCTTTGGAGACACGCTTGACCTGGCTTGACTGTAATCAGAGATCTTATATCTGGAGTTTTGGGTGGACATTGCGTGAAGATGTTCGGCTAGCCTGTGCACAGACGCCAGAGCTATTTTTCGACCTACATGTGCCTTTTCAACTGTCACCGAAAGAACAAAATAATTCATGCAAATGTATACCGGAACACGATTAACGACGGTGATTCATAGACGTCTCCTCTCCCGATTTTTCCTGAGGGAGGGGGGACGTCTGTACACAGGTTACCGACCGTAAACATTGTTATAAATCACATATGAAAAAACCCTCCTCATGAATAAAACCCGGAGCTTTGTCATCGACGGCAATCGGTTGCCTGAAAACCCATAATGCACTTTGACGTCACTACTCTGGATGACGTCAAGGCGGAAGAGAAAATCACGCTGGCCTTGCGATGCTCGTGTGATACACGCGCGCTGCGCGCGCGACGATATTATAAACCTCGCTTCGCGAGCAAAAAGGCACACTAAAAGCTCAAATAACCCTTATGCATGTTTACGTCACGCAAGCAAATTTCACCACCAAGCCTCGTTTTGAAATTAAAAATAAGCGAAGTTTCACAGAAATGAATTCCCAAGGCAGTAG